TCTTTGAAATTTATGCAGAAGTTCCTTCGCACAGAGAAGAAAAATCACGGCAGTTTTAAAGAATTGCCGTCGAGTTGTTTCCCGTTCAAAAAATAAAGTATGACAGGAAGTCTGCGATGTCGCAAACCGAGTTATGTGATTGCCGACTTACACCGTCGATATGCTACTTGGAGCGCAGATATGCTACTTAGCAGAGAGGAACCAAGTTACATCAGCTATTGCCAAATTTAACTCGGCTACTCAATGTTTCACAAGAGCACGTTTGTGCGAATCCCTTCGAAAATTTGAAGGTATTTGCCTCGTGCCATGCAGAAAGTTCACTGAAATTTGCATACAGATCTGCAAAAGCATTTTCATGTAAAAAATTAGTGTGCCCATTAAATTTAGCGATAGCTGGTGAGGCTTAGTTCCTTTCTGCTAAACGCGATCCGCATGTTTTTTCATCAAAATTTTACGTAAAACTAGAACACAATTTACGCAACATAATTATTGAAGGTAACACCAAACAAGGATATCAAATTTTCCTTTAGTGCATAAATTCAAACTTCCCGGCTGTAAAAAAGACTTTTTCTACTTGAGTAATCTAAATTGCACACTAGACGTTATCGTGACAATCTGTATCCGACAAAAAAAAATGACAACCTCGATCTCGGCACTTCGGCTTAGCTGTTGCATATTAGGCACCCTTTGAACGACACAGGATGGAGAACAAATAGTGCTCATTGAGAGGCCTGCCAAAACCACTAAAGTGCGCGATTTACCTCAAGTAAACTATGTTTTTTCATTAGAGAGGGAAATTCAAATTTTTTGGAGGCAATACTAAATAAAACATTGGGAGTTAATAACATAATGTTTGTAGCGCGAATCGTGCTCTTCTAGGATTTTGAAGAGGAAACATTTCTCGATGGCTAGAGTGCGAGACCACGTATTTTTATTGCGGAGTTTCAAAATCTCTGATCCGTTTATATTGATAGCTTGAGCTTTTAGGGGATAATATAATAGAAAAGAGAGATTAAGAAAGTTATCAAGCAATTAAGTTGACTAGTTTTACAAATACACAATAAAATAAGACGAGAAGTCTGCAACGTCGCAAACGGAGATACGTGGTTTCGCACTTTGACCATCGATATCAGAAAGCTTAAATTTATACCTTGTCTAGTGGGCAATTTACGCATATATTTAGTTGACAATTTTTCACAGAATTTTATAAAGAATTCAATCTAAAATGGTTGAAAATTTCGCAAAAAGACACATCTGCTGTCTCCGAAAATAAATGTTTTAGCAGAGAAAAGGCACGTCCGCTAGTCTCTGCAGAGTTTTTCCGTAGAACGACAGATTTCCATTGATATTTTTCGACTCCTAGGTGGCAACCTAGACCTAAAATTGCCGCGAGCCAGACGCTGACTCATTCATTTCGTGTCGTAAATCATCCCTATTGACCGCTCGCTCGGCATTGCCAACAATTTCAAACATATTATGAAATTTTACTCCATTGAAAGACACGAGGGAGCGGCGTAAGTGGCTCATGGTTTTTTCAATCAAAGTGCTCTCTGAGTAACTTTTTTTTTCATTAACTTAAAATTGTACAACCACCCCTTACTGGGATGTCAATTACACTATTTGTAACTTTGTATTAACACTAGTTCTTAACCTAAGGGCCTAAAACTATTTTTTTAAGAATACATAAATTCTTCCATTCACGCCCTGTGTCTTTCTTTCTCCTGCGCTTTCTTTCTCCTGCGCTTTCTTTCTCCTGTGTCTTCGCTCAAATTGTGACAAAAATGAAACAAATTCCCCACTTTGCGTAATTTCCGCACTTTTTCAGTACTTCCGGACCGCCCTTAAAAATCAGTATTATTGCCCAACTTTCTAGGGAATTGTAGACACTCTGTCAGCACATCCTTTATTTTCTGTCCAGTCAGTGTTCGAAACTCACAGGCGCCTACGCGCCTAAGATATCGGTCATGGCGCGTAAAAAATAAAGTTTCTGCGCCAACTTGGCCCTTAAAAGTTTCCCCTACCACCCTCCCCCCCTCAGAAAATCCTAAATTATCTGTTTGGTGATTTATCGAAATCTCCTTTAAGTTACAGCTACTATTTTTGTAAGTAAAACATCTTGCGTCTAAATTTTCACTAATTGCGCCATAATATAGACAAAAAGTTAATTTGCCCCCTAAAAAATCTTCAATGGCCCCTAAAAATCAAGCTTCATGCGCCGCATGACTCCTAAAACTCAAAGGTGAGTTTCGACACTGTTTCCAGTTATCGTGCGACGGATAGGGAGACGATTCCATAAATCTAGCAACGGGCCGCGCTGCACGGGGTCGCCCATCGGTGATGGATAGGCAGCCCGGAGCACAACAGTGTCTCTCTGTATGCGTGCATCGGCGGAGCAGGAACAGGAGGAGCCGATGACGGGAATGGGCGCCGCCTCGCGCGTGGGCGGGGGCGGCGCGGGAGACAAAGACAGGTCAATCAATCAATGGAGCCTCCGCCGGGCGCGGGTGAGGGGGTAGAGGAGGGGGCTGGCAATCATTTTTGAGTTGTAAACGAAGGATGACGAATGCGTCCGATTGGAAATCAAACGCGGGCGGTCTTCGGCGAGGATCCCGCCTTTGTTCCTGGCGAGGGAAGGCGAGGTGTAAGCTGCCGTGCTGAGGAAAAACACCGTATGAACATTCCAGAGTTGCCAAATTTCTTCCGATAAAATGTTTATTTATGAGGAAAGTTATGAAGATTTTTCCTTGAAGTTTTCGGACAGTCTAGATCAAATTACGAGCAAAATTATCTGAAAAGTTGGAAGAAAAACATTAACAAATTTTCCTGAAAATTAGTGATTTGTCTAAGGAAATTTGGCAACGCCTGAAAGCTCATACGCCGTTTTTCCTTAGCAAGGCAGTAAAGGTGGCGAAATTTGAGTTACTGTCGTGTTGCGATGGATCATACAAAACACGGCGGTTAGGGCTTTGATCATACGTGTCCTCGGGATCGAATTCATAATCGTTCCTTAGATGTCAGGACAGTCTTAAGCAGGGTGGCATGAAACGTAAGAAAGAAATGAAAGATTGGGAATTTCGATGAGGTATTTCTTTCATGAGGCTGTGAAATATTTCATATTTTTCAGGGGCTAGAGGATGCGACCCGCATTCAAATATACATAAATAGAAGAAAGTCACGACTTTTTCATTTTGCGAAACATGAAAAGGAACAGGTATTTTTCAATGTCTTTCATAAATTACTTAAATTTCATGAAACATTTCGCGTAAAATTACAGGAGTTATTTTTCATGAAGTTTTGCTACCCTGTTCTTAAGCTGTAGCAGTTACACTCATGGTCTTAATGGCTAACGAACGACTATGAATACGACCCTTAAACAGGATTGCATGAGTAAAATGAAAAATCTGAAAGATTGGCGAGATTTTAAAGACAAATATGAAAAATACACGAGACAGACTTTCAGGGGCTGACAAGGGGAGTCTACGAAGTGACATCCTGGGATTGGGTTCATTTTGCTTCTACACGAAGAAAAGACAAATCTAGCCGCCACCTCCCAACCGTTCTCGAGATATCGATTTTTAAAGTTACGATTTTTGCACGTTTCCGCGCGGAGTTCCGGCGAGTAAACTGAGCGCCGGCAAGCTGCACGAAGTGCGATGTCTAACTACCGACGACAACACGATAGGAACTCGAATTTCGCCACCCTTACTGCCGTGCTGCGTTGATATTACTTTTGAGATGACAGCGTGAAAACGGAATAATCGAAAAATCAAGAGAGGCGGTTTTAACCGAGCATATCACATTTATTTCACACAGCGGGTAACAATGAAAAAGCTAGACATGATAATTGATTCACATCACTCATAAAATAATTACTTGCGCGCAACAATCTGGTAACAAATGTCTTGATTCACTATCAGAAATACTAAAATTAAGGTAAAATACTAAAATTTAAATACTGTGCGCTTGTTTCTACAAGCGCACAGTAATTTGGTAACAAATGGCTCACTTCACTGTCTAAAATACTTAAATTAAGTAGAAATATGATCACTCGTCGATGATAGATTCAAATTAAAATCATTACTCGCACCTCAAATCGTCACAACTCGACTGAACAGCTTTTTGAGAAATAAAATGATAAAATATAAGACATTTCAAAATTATGGAAAACTTAAAGAGAACAAAAGAATAGTTACCCAATATAAAAAGAATAAAACTTAGTCTTAAAAAAAATAATAACAAAAAGTTGAATGATGTGAGAGTAAATGCGAACAGCACTCTCTTAGTGATGTTCATTATGCAATGCTCTTATATTGGTTCTATAATCTTATACCTTCAAGCATTACAGTGATGCTAAAAAAAATAACTATCGCCTATTTGCTCGCACTTGCTACTTGGAAAGTGCGGCTCTCATCAGTTGCAATAACATGAAATCATGAGAGATGTTGTACACAAAAGGGACCGAAAACCTTTGAAAATATTTATCATATTTTTCAGGAAGACGAGATCAAACTGGTATAGTAGCAGTGGTAGTATTTATTCATTTTAAAGAAAAAGCTAAGTATTTATTTAAATGAAAATACTAAATATTTACTTTAAAGAGGTTTGTCAGATTCCTCAAAGAAAGTAGGCGAATGTTGAGACCTTCGAAAAAAAATAGATTAGGAAAATATTTAAAACTAGCTTATTTTTTCCATGATAAAATTCATTAAGAGGCTTGGAGGACAAGACGCATACGTCGTTAAGAATTGTGGAGTGAAATTCTGTGCCAGAGTTTACACAACGCCAAAAAACCCCGAGTGATATGAATGCGGAGCGGAATCTCTTCTCCTTACGGAGTGACTTGCATATTTCCGGATCGAGATCTACTTTTTTTGCGAGTGGCATAGGCTTTAAGGTGCTAATTTCACTTTGCAGTCATGTTACTCGNGGGGGGGGGGGGGGTACATGTATAGACTCCGGCACCGATGTTTACTCCTCAATTTAGAACTGTGTAAGTGCAGTTTTTGAAAAATTGAGATGATAAGATTTGAACTAAAAGTATTCTCAAAATATATTCTGTGAAATGTATACTGCTATAATCCAACTTTCAAGAATCGAAAAATGAGTTTCAACTATCTTTCTACGGTAAGGCTCCATGAAGTTTTAAAACTTTAAGCACGAGTTTCTCAAAATGGCAAAATCTGTACTCATACGTCTTTTCCGCCAAACCCCTCATGTTCCTCAGCATGCATTTCTACAAGTCTTATTTATTAAGAAAATCACCAAAGACAGTGAAAGTTACAATCTCTACCTCAAAGTTATCACGTGATCTATAAAATACAAGACGCGGCCAACAAAAAAGTATTTAACTCTTAACTCTAGCATCAGTACATCAATAATAATTATATATTATTGTCCATGGAAGACGCGGATTACAGGTTTGGTCGGTTGGTAAAGCGGGCGCGTTGACACTTATTTTCACACGATCTTCACTGCGGCTTTGTGAACAACTTCAGGATTCTCGATATCTGCTTTGCTCTGTATGATTTTCAGTTCTCTATCATGCTTGGAGCCCTCGCCTCCACCCAATGCTGAAAATGTATGGTTTATTACTTGAGAGACGCTTCAAAATAAGACATCATATGCGAGTTTGATGCGCGAAACAATGGATACAACTATTACAGCTTCTGAGTACCCGCTTTTGCCTATCTTCTCAATTGAAGGCAAATCATACGCTGCTAACGCACGAACACTTCCCATCTCGCAAGGATCAACGGAAAGAGATCAACTGGTTAAGTGTAGGAGCTACGAATTGCGAACACTTACACTCAGTTTTAATGTATTCGTCTACTTTCATACGATGAATAATTATATTTAATCAAAATCGAATAAAATTTTAAAGTCGTTTAGACGAGTCAAAACGACGTTAGTTACAGGAGCGGCTTTAAAACGGATTCAATGAGTATTTTTTCCCGGATTTTTTACTAAAACAACTGGTAAAAAACAATAAAGTTTAATATGCACATTGCACCCTGTAATGCAATTCAATAAGATAATAAAAAGTATGCCAAATTACTATAGCTAGCAAGTTAGTATAGCCAGTAAACATCAAAGTAAGCACCTTTGGCATTATCATTTATTATCTCGTTGCATTAAAAAACATTTTTTGCAATCGGGTACCCGATTTAATCCAGAAAAATAAATTTTCAACAGGTTTAAGCAGACAATTTCAGTCCAAAATTTATTTTGACTGCATCGCAATGAATCAATCAACTGACAATTATTATGGTTGAGGCTCTATAATGTGAGCAGCACAACAGAATTTACACTTCGTTCTTCTGGTGGCAATTTGTCAAAGAGCGGACGCTTTTCCGCTCAGACTCTTCCAAGTCCATGTTCTCACGTTTCTGAGCCCATTTTCTCACGTTTCTGAGTCCATTTTCTCACGTTTCTGCAGAGTCCATTTTCTCACGTTTTTGAGCCCATTTTCTCACGTTTCTGAGTCCATTTTCTCGCGTTTCTGAGTTCATTTTCTCACGTTTCTGAGTCCATTTCCCCAAACTTCAAATCGACATTTATACCTGCGGCTCCCGGCAAAATTGTTCACGAGGAAAAGCCGAGTTCCTCAAAGTAAAAGCTTCCAACTGTCGCCAAGGAGCTAGTAATCTTCGTCTCTGAAACTAATAATGAGAGAAGCGGAAAGAAAACGATAAAACCCGAACTTACATTCAACATACTCGTTGGTCCTTTTCAAGACAGCCTGGACGGTGGACGTTGCTTTCTCGAGGGCCGTCGGGAGATCGGACCTGTGGAACCAGGCTAAGAACAACGCCGCGAAGAGGTCTCCGGTCCCCGTGAAGTGCCCGCTGATCTTGGGGATATTGATTTCGGCCGTCGTGGTTCGAGCCCCGGCTCCGTCTGAAAATTAATTGCCGATTACTTCCCGGGGTGGAGACTGGCCGAGGTCAGTTTAATCTTCGCCGCTGCACTCGCCACCCCGCTGCCCGGGAGAGGGGAGGGGGGAGGGTGGATTATGACGTTGGATGATAGTTTAGTAAGCAGCTTACGAACGTCTGACAGAGGCTTACGCCGCACAATGGATCGAGTCAATAGGAAAGGTCGGACAAAATTCGGACATTTTAAAAGCTTATAACTCTCCGTTTTACAAAATTTTGAGGTTCTAAAAGTGGTTCCATTGGTTTCCTCGTAGAATTTTCTTTTAAAAGCACCCCTTGAAATTTAAAATGTGACGAAATAAACATCAAAATTTGCAGTTTTAGTTAAAAAGTCCATGTCAGACCGCTGTAATTGACTCGATCCACTGTGCGCCGATGCCTTTCATTTATAATCCAGATTCAGTCGGGGCCGGAATCGCTTCGATTATATCAATCGAGCCTCGTTTTCAGCGCCCGGGCACCTGTTGTCGAAACTACGTTGGGATTCCATTGGACCGGAAATCAGGGTCACATGAGGGAAGACATCATGGATGATTGGAGTGGAGAATTTGCAGGCAAATTTTTTATTGCCTCGTCTGAAAGTGCTAAAAGAGCAGATTTCACGGTATTTTTTACAATTTTTTTCTGATACGGGAAACAGTGTAATAATTGATTTAAAAGTGAGAGAATGCACCGCCTAGTGACGTCATCTGGCGGCATTTCCCAATTAAACACATATATTTTAGCAGATTAGATCAATTTGTCATATCTTCTCCAATAATGGAGAATTTGCAGGTGCTTGATATTTTATGAATTTCGTGTTTAAGTGGAAACTACTGAGTGAACTGAACACGAGGTACCCTCGAGTTCAGTTCACTCAATAGTTTCCACTGAAATACGAAATTCATTAAATTTCAGGTACCTGTAAATTCTCTATTTTCCGTGAAATATTCCATGGAATTTCACGAGGCTGAAAAAACACAAACTGATTGCAGTAGACGAACGAGTCTTCCGACAGTAAGTTAAATTTCTTTATCCAGCGTGCTTTATAAATCAGCATAAAGTTGAAAATCTCAATACAGAGGGAAAAAGCTCATATGAGTTCAATAAGCAAACCGCGTATCTCTTAGAGGAGAAAGTGTGTTCATATTAGCTTTTATCATCTATATGGAGATTTTCAGTTTTATGCTGATTTGTAATGCACGTTGGCTAAGAAATTCCGACCGAAACAATCATTTTAGCGGTGGGGTGTACTCTGCCGTGCTGAGGCAAAACGCCGTATGGACCTTCAGGCACTGCCAAATTTCTGTTGATAAAACACGAATTTTCGCGAAAACTTATGATTATTTTTCTTTCAATTTTTTGAATAATTTTGTTGGCAATTTCACTTGAAGTTTCTGAAGATTTCAAGGAAAAATATTCAAAAGTCTCCTGAAAAATAAAAATATTTATCGGTGGAAATTAGGCAACTCTCTAATGTTCGTACGGCGTTCCTTAGCGCGGAAGAACTGGTCCAAGAGCCAGACGATAGTTGGTGCCAAAATCGTGACACAAGACACAAGTTTTGACCGCTTAAATCTGCACCGACGCTGACACTGATAATCGTTGCCTGCCACGTGATGGCGCACGCTGCAATGTGGCAGACGACCATTTTCCGTGTCAGTGTATTTGAAGCTGGGCGAAAATTTTGAAAAGGGGACATTTCAGGATGGAAAAAGTAAAAAAATGATATATCGACGGAACTAAGGTGCAAATTTAGGCGATGTACCTGCTTTGGAGCTGCCATAAATGATGAGGTTGTCGGCGGCATCTTCGGTCGACGAAACAACCACCGTTTTGACTCCAAGCTCGTGAAGTTTACCGACGACGGAATAAAGGTCCTGTCTCGTCTCCACCGGCTGACCTGTCAGCAGCCTACGCAAAGTAAAATTCTCGTAAGCGCGGAATACTTCGAGGCGGAAAAAGTGAGAATTGAGAGATTTACGGCAATACAGCGCCCAGGTGTGGCACTGCGTTCATGATATTGGACTCCATGCTCACCTATATAATGATTGGCTGTTCATCACGTCGAAGATCTTGGACTCAGTAGAAAAACAAGGGGAAAAAACGGGAAACAAGGCTAGAATACACAATTTTAAAAAAAAACCGAGACGTTTCGACTCAACACTGAGTCATTTTCAGTCGGAAATGTTATAATAAAAATTTAAAAAACTATGAAAAACCTGAGCCCTATGCATGGTGGTGGCCGGGATCTGAGGGGGAAAAAAATTCAATTCATTTACTGAGCAACTAAGCTAACATGGCGGGAACGCTTACAGTATCACGCAGGAAGGAAGGCGCATCGAACCGAAGCCACTCCGGCGCTGTACACATTCAGGGTTAGCCCGATTTATTGGCAAACATGTTCAGCTTTTGCCTGCAATTGTTCTGTAATATTGTTTTATTATGTTTGATGTGCTCAAGGTGATTTTTGTGGGATTTCATGCGGAAAATGTCCGATTCGATGGATGTATCTCTCAAGGTCAACACCGCTTCCAATTTGGGCGATTCCCCTTCTATGTCAAAAATACAACCCACCCAGCAACGAGTCTGATCATGTTTCCTTGAGAGATACACCGCAAAACTGCCGTGCTTAGGAAGAACGCCGTATGAGCCTTCAGACGTTGCCAAATTTCCTCCGATAAAAACCGAATTTACTTGAAAAATTGTGAATATTTTTTTCCAAAATTTTCAGACAATTTTGTTTGCAATTTGATCAAAAATATCTGAAAATTTCAAGGGAAAATGCGCTTAAATTGCGGCAAAAGTACATGTTTTATCGAGGGAATTTTGGCAGCTCTCGAAAGTTCATTCAGCATTCTTCCTTCGAACGGCAGTATATAAGGCTAGAGTACCTATACAGACCGAGTATGGTCATTTTTGTTCCGGTTTTGCGTAGGTCGGCGATTTTCCTTCCCACGGCAAAAAAACTCGTCCGAGTTAGCATCGTAGTCCAATACGGAAGAGGACACCATTCAATACAACACACCGCAAAACTGCCGTGCTAAGGAAGAACGCCGTACGAGCCTTCAAACTTTGCCAAATTTCCTTCGATAAAAACCGAATTTACTTGCAAAATTGTGAATATTTTTTTCCAATATTTTCAGACGATTTTGTTTGCAATTTGATCAAAAATGTCTAAAAAATTCAGGGGAATGTATGCTTAAATTGCGTCCAAAAAACACGACTTATCAAGGGAAATTTGACAGCTCTCGAAAGTTCATAGGCGTTCTTCCTTAGCACGGCTTCCTTAGAAAACTCGTCCGAGTTAGCATATGAGTCCAATACTTCCATGCTAAGGAAAAACGCCGTATGAACCTTCAGACGTTGCCAAATTTTCATTCATAAAATACGAATTTCTTGGCAAACTTATGAATATTTTTCTTCCAATTTTTCAGATAACGTTGTTCGCGCCATTTCACCTAAAGTTCCTGAAAATTCCAAGGAAAAATGATCTTAACTTTCCTCGAATATAAACATTTTATCGAAGGAAATTTGGTAACTTTCAAATGTTCGTACGGCGTTCTTCCTTAGCACGGCAGAATAAGGAAGAGAACACCATTCAATACGAAACCATGAATGGAAACGACACAATAAGGAAAGTTGAAAAAAAGCCTTACTGCGCCTCGAAGCTGTTGGGAGTTACGATGTCGGCAATGGGCACGATTAGGGTCCTATAAATATCTTTCAGCTCCTCGGGAACGTACATTCTACCGTTATCTCCCATCACCGGATCGCAAACTGGAAAAAAAGATGGCAGTTGTTTAAGGCGGCCCGGTAAAAGACGGGGCTTAAATTCAAATCAAGGATCGAAATCTGGGAATGGACCCATATTCGACGGTGCACGGTACAAATTCAATAACTTGAGGATAAGATGAGAATACTGAACGGTAAATTTGCTTCCCTTATTTTCCTATCGCTATCGCGAGCGTGGGAGGCGCGCTTTTCTCGGCAAGAGACAACATAAATATTGAAGAGGGCCGCTTTCCGTTCTCTAATCCTGCTGGGCATAGCTTTCTGCGTGGAAGTTTGAAGACGGACGGAAGAATAGAGTTAAATATGTACTTCGGATGGGGGGATTAAATGAAGTTTTGGGGATTCTGAGAGAAATTTGTTTTAAGTTGAAAAATTAGATGGAGTCATTTGACGCCAATGAAAGTCTTATTCGAATTTTGAGGGGGCACGTGATCTTGCATGCATTTTTTGTTGCGATTGATGAGGATCGAGGTTGCAATGCAATAGTAACCAGTTATTCTGAATGATTAAGAAGAAAATTGCACAGATTTGGATTTCAAAAAAAAACTTAAGTTTATGAAAAACGTTTCTAAACTAACGAGTCCCATTTTCAGTTCTTATTTTTACGGTGAAAACCTGGCATTTCTAAGAAAATCAGTATTAAACTATCTCTGGCTAAATTCTTCTTGTTTTCATATAGACTCAGTAAGACTGAACAATCTTTAATTTGATGGTGTAAATAAATGCATATATTTTTGGCAATCTTATTTCCACATTCTAATGAATATAATTTATTCTTAGTTCACTTGAAAAAATGAGACAGTGCACAAAATGTGAAAATGCCATTCCAGGTTTTTAAAAACCCATGACTTTTCCAAGATATCTAGGTTTTCTGAGATTGTCACCGTCCTACCTTCCCTCTTTTTTCCAACAAGCGCCAAACATTGTGAAAACAAAACAGCGGAAGACCACCGTTTTCCAAGAAAAAAGATTCGCAGGAATAAAACGTTAAAGGAGAAAGACGTCTTAAACGCGTAGCACGAGAACGGCGCTAGATAGGTTTACGTATAGTTCTCGCGAGGAGCACATTGAAGAAGAAAAACGTCTCCGCGCTAGTTTTCCTTATGGCCTAAACAGTTCAGCTCAACTGAATCGATGGATGCTAAAAACCGCACAAGCCCTTCATCTGATGAGCCCTACAATACAGACAATCTCGTCCAAATTAGAGATCATCAAGAAAAGGACTTCTTACGTTTTAAAATCCACCAATTCGCCCTATACGGTTCAGCTCAACTGAATCGGTGGATGTTAAAACCCGCACATGTCCTTCATCTGATGAGCCCTGGGATGAAGACAATCTAATGGAACTCACGGCTCATAAAAAAAAATGAATTGTTGCGAATAAAAGTTTGTGGAAGTCGAATCCCTTGGAGAGGGAGGAAAAATCCGACGAAACTTAGGTGCTTCGTTTGACTGATCTTTGACGGAGAGAGAGGTCGTAAAGAGGGAGAGGGAGGGAGGAGGAGGGGAGATGGAGGACTGTTTGGTGAGATAACTTCAGGATTAAAAGATATGGGTGAAAAAATTTGATGCGCCCGTTTTGTGTTATGTTCGGTTTGAAGGACTTCGTTTAAAAAGTTAAAACACTACTAAGCAAAAAAAACGCCTTCAATCTCATTTGATACCGCAACACTCAATCCGATGGCTGAAGTGCGACACCACGTATCTTCACTGCGGTGTTTCAAAATCTCCGCACCTAGTTTATTTTTTCGAAGCGAAACAAATGTAAACAGAATATTCTACTGACAGAGAAAAAAAATCAAGGAAGTTTTCAAGAAATTACATTGACTAGTTTTCCAAGGAAAACATAGAGTATGAAGTCACAAACGGAGTTGAGTGGTTTCGCACTCTGACCATCGATATACATGGAGTTGGTGTAAAAGCTTTGAAAGGTATGAATGATTTCAACTGAAACCGATCTTAAAATATATTTAGTAAAAAATTCACTTCTAAAATCTAACTTTTAAACATCAAAAAGCGCATTAGAACTGTCATTCCGTCATTAAACTCCTTGTTTTGAAACTACCGTGCGCTGTGTATTAATTTACTGAGATATCGCGCTTTGAAAAGTCAGATAATGACGTCATCCGCCGCGGCAGTGACACCCCTGATTTCTTCCACCTTCCACCATCCGAGTTTCACGGAAAAAGAGAGTTTAGGGATGGTACCTGCGCGGAAGGTCCCAGCCTTAACCAGGTAGGATGCCTTAAAGGATGCCTGTCATTCTTATTGTTGGTATGTTGGAGTGCCTTAATTTTCGTATAATACTGTACAACACCTCTGTTGTGAAATAGTGAAGCGCCGTGCGCGTGGCACGTGGCACGCTGCAGCGCGGCCAGCCAGCCAGCACGGAACGCGCATTGGCGCCTACAAACCTAAGGGATACCTCAAGAATTGCGCAATGCGTGAAGTATCTGCTTAGGTTTGTAGGCGCCAGTGCGCGTTTCGTGCTGGCGGCACATCGCATCACTCCGCTTTATGCTAGGGCCTATTACTTAAACTCGCGGAGTCAGCGTTTTCCAACTCATGATTTTTATATGTTTGCACACTCTGCATGGATTACTTTAATTTAAATTGATGAAAAAATATTTACATGAAAGGAAAATTTAATTTGTTTTGTGAATATTAAGGTGTTTGCTTGTCGTATTTAATGATTTTCAAAGCACAATAATATTTTCTTTTATATTTTGTGCTTTTACTGTAGTGCAGCGTGGTGTGAGCGCAACCAAACGCTCAAAATAGGACGTATTTGACTCTGAAAGATCAATGTACAAATGGGCTAAAACCGAAGATTGCGTGCTTCTCGATTTTTTCCCTCTTTTATTCATTTGTGCATAGTTTCTTTCAACACAACTGCTGCTCATTGATTTTAATATCGATGCCATCGCTTGGAAAAGGTTTTACAAATATTTGCCACGTTTTAAAAATGTAAATGTTTTTAAAATAAAGTGATATTTTCATTTTAAAAAAAGTATTTATAAGGTTTATTTTTCATCGAAAATTTTAAGGATGGAAATGAAACCAAATATTCACCCATGACAATTTAAAAAGATTGATCAAAAGAAGGAAATAACATTTCATTTAAAAAGATGAGTTACCACAACAACTCTTCCGTCCCCCTCAATTTTCTCATTTCATTATTGTCAATATAATTTTACATACGGACTACAATATGACACTTGGACCAAGTCACTGTTGCTTATAGGTGAAATTGCTTCACCTCATACCCCATATGGGCAGGCCCGGCGCGGGTAAAGCCCAAACCTACCTGCTTCAGAGTTCAGCCCTACTTGGTAAGGGCTAGACCCTGTCCAGTTGGGGCAGGACCCTGCCCGCGCAGAGTCTGCCTCTGTGGGGTATGAGGTGAAGCAATTCTAGGGCCTAGCCTTAATCTCATTTTTTCCGTGTTGAGTAACGAAAGCAAATGTGTCTCCCTGACTGATAAAACTAAGTTGGGAGAAACCACAGGTGTCACTACCGCGGTGGATAACGCCATAAACTGAATTTTTCAAACCGCGATATCTCGGTTAATGTTGAACACAGAAAGATGCTGTTTGGACAGATTTTACTTTTAGCTAATCTACAAGAATCAAACATCGAAACACAATTCTGTGACCAGCTCAACTCCCATTTACGCGGGAAAATTGTGCAACATTGAAATACAGCTACGCTCATTCGTGAGGGAAGCTGCGTTTTGAGAAATTCTGTTTTTCTAAGGGAAAGCGCCGTATGAACCTTCAGGCGCTCCCAAATTTCCTATAACAAAACTCAAATTTCACGGTAAAGTTATGAATATTTTTCTTCCCATTTTTAGGATGATTCTGTTCGCAATTTTACCGAAAGCTCCGTAAAATTTCAAGAAAAAACATTCATAACTTTCCTCATGAATTCTACTGGAGGAAATTAGATAACTCTCAAATGTTCATACGGCGTTTTTCCTTGGCACGGCAGTATCATGGACGAGCCCGTTTCTGCCGTGCTAAGGAAAAACGCCGTATGAGCCTTCAGACCTTGCCAGGTTTCCTCCGATAAAGACCGAATTTACCGGGAAAATTGTGAATATTATTTTCCAAAATTTTCAAACAATTTCATACGCAATTTGATCTAAAATATCTGAAAATTTCAAGGAAAAGTATGCATGAATGTTGTCAATTACATGTTTTATCAAGGGAAATTTGGCAACTCTCGAATGTTCATACGGCAATTCTCCTTAGTATGGCAGTATTGTAATTCGCATGAAACGTACTCGGAGAAAAAAACTTCGTGCGTGGGACCCGAAGTTGAAGTCATATGGATCTTTGAAGTTTTCGGATCCCGCATCTAAAAACTTGAGGTCCAGCTGCCGAAGTTCGGGCTAGACATCTGAAGTACTTCGACCTATACCGAAGGGCTCGGGTCACACATCTGAAGTACTCCGGTACATACCGAAGTGCCTTGATGTCTGACCCGAACTTCAGCAGCTCGACCTCAAGTTTTCGGATGCGTGATCAGAAAACTTCAGAGATCCATATGACCTTAACGGATTCGAGGAAAAATGTGCATGAATGTCGTCAAAAATACATGCTTCATCGAGGGAAATTCGGCAACTCTCGAATGTTCATACGGCGTTTTCCCTCAGTATGGTAGTTTTCCCGGCGGACGACGAGACCGCACACGAACAGAGATAAAATATCGCGTCGAGGTAATTCATCCGATGGACCTAATCGCGGGGGCCACGATGTCAGCCGCAATGGAAGCCGGCGCGGGGGTTAAATCCGTCATCGGCGTTATTAGCGGCCTCGTTAGGCCCGGCGTTATTAGATTCGGGACTGCGGTCTCCGTCCCTGTCCCTGCGTCCCTGTTTCAGCGGCGCTGGGCGGCGGCGGTAATCTCGGCGTTTTGATGGGTTATTGATTCCAGTGTCGCGCCGAGCCGCGTCGATTCTTCGACCCTCTCGAAAAAACCAG